AAAGTTATTGATAAAATTTTGGTTCTCAAAACCAATGAATTTTAATCCCAATCTTGCCAAATAACTCTAATACATTTCAATTCATTAAGTAAAATTTCTCAGTAAATAAATGCCCTGTCAATCTAATTAAATACTGCTATTTCTGATACCTGTGATCCTCAAAGAGGGATGATTTTGATTTGCTATGTGTCTTTCCAAAAGAGAAGTTATCCCTGTTTTAACCTCTCAGCCATTGTCTTTTCAGACAGAAGCGTAAAAAACTAGCCAACAGTCTCTTTTCATACTGGTCTTTAACCAGGAGGAGAGATATGGTCCAAAGTCTATCCAAGGCATAAGATCATAAAGCAGCCAGCAAACAGTCTCTAGAAGAATGCTGAGGTGTTCACCACCTGGGTCAGGCAATTGGAGTGGGATCAGCATCAGATATAAGTAAATGAGAAGAAAGGAAAGGAGAACTGTGAGCATAAAGCTAAGAAACCTATAATGCACTTACAAAACGCTCTTAAATTCACATTTATTTTCTAAGTATGAGATAGATGGGTTATTTCTGCATACAAAGGTGCCCAACTAAAATCAAGATAAGTGATATTAATGTCCTATGGTCAGTATTATTGAACCTCGAAAGCAATAAACTATGAGTCGATAAATATTACATTTGCAACATAGTTAACATTCTTCTACTGTCTCTGGCACTTATTACACATTGTAACCGCAAGTCTACAATACATTATTCATATTTGGGGTGTCACGGAGTGATGGATTGCTGTAAGAGAGGCTGTCCTTTAAATAAATCAACAAATAAAAATGCAAATGTTAACATTTTCAGCCACAACTTTTTCCATCTTGAATGGGGAATGAAAATTTCACATTATATCGACAGCCAGCAGAGAGAACAATTAACAACCTACACTGTGAATAAGAGAGATTAATTTGCCAATGTCTGGGTTTATCACTTGCATATGGAACTACATTGGACTTTTTTTGCGCAGCTGGCTTTCTTGGGGAGTAGGAAAAACTTGTGTCTCCTGCCACATTGAGAAACTAACTCACCAGCCGCACTCCAAAAACACTTTTAATCTCTTTAAATGTTTCTAAGTTAGATCTGGAATGAAAGTTTCCTGCTCCTTCTCCTCCATTTGAATCCTGAATGGTGTCTGATCCTAAGGGGAAAAAGAAATCTATTTCTTTGGCAGTGCTTGCTTAGACACTGCAGTAGAAGGAAGTTCATAGATTGTTGTAAGTCAACAGCCATGTTTAAGCATCCAACATGCACAGATCTGAAAAGTAACTACCACATAAGTAAGGCAAAACCTTAAATCTCATCAGTGTCATATTTCCTAACACTCAGCATAACAGATCTACTCTAGACTATTCCAGTGTGCATTATCAAGTATACAATTCTGCACATTATATTTTACATCAGATATTAATTTGCTTAAAAGTCCCTGAATGCACATTCACCTGAGATGTGCTGGGCAATTGGATAAATAGTTTTGGTTTTAAAATGTCCCTAAACACAAATTTACACAATGCAATCTGTTTATAAAAACTCCAACAGACCACTGTAATCTAACAGATAGTAATGTAGGTCAAATATAGCATTCACACTACAAGAACTTCTAAATCACTTATTTTAATGGCTACAAGAAACTTCACTCTAAGACAATGCATTCAGCGAGCATTAAAGCTTTGACTGGAAACTGCAACAAGAAAACACAGGCTTAATGCTGAAATCCCAGACTATCACTCAATTAATTAATTTACCTAACTGTTCTTAAATTCACTTCTTCGATGTCCAAAGAGAAAAATATGACAGGAGAATTATCTGTTTCCATGGTAAGCAAAACAACCTTTGCCTGTGTCTTTTTAAGTGCTTGATTATCTGCAGTATTACAGGACTTACTGTGCCACACACAACACTATGACTGTTTCTGCATGGGGAAAGCCTGACAATTGCACCAGGGCTGTAAGCAAATTAAATGGTATTTCACAACGTACAATTTACAGCTGCTTTTTTAATTTATTTTTAAAATACCTGAATAATTTAATTTAGAGTAGTTTCACTTCTGTATGCAACACAACACTTGTTTAGCTGAAATCAGTACCTGATTATAGCTAAGGTAAGAGATCTAGTTTATGTAAAAATTTCTTCATCAGTATGCCACTACTTTCCTTTCCAGCTTCCCTCCAGCTCACAAGCGAAACTCAGAGTCTTTCTTCTAGACAAACAGCAGTTATGAAAAAGATGTCCCTGGTCACCAAAAGTTCGTATTTAAGACAATCAGAGCAACTATACTTCAGGGGTAAGGAACAAACTTACTCTTCCAAAAGGGCCCTGGACTTTTTTCCCTCAAATATATTGGCTGTGGTCTAGGTAAACAAGCACAGGAGTAGAAAAGCTTTCCAGATCTGCTGTGAACATAATTTCAAGAGCCTTATGCAGGTGTAGACACTTGGCTTAAGAACACTGGATAACCAAAGTTGCAGTGCTTGGCTGTATGTTAGAAGGCAGAGACAGGCATGCATAGAAGCATGATGGGCAAACAAATTCACCATTAGCCCAGCTTTGGCTGCCAGATAAAGAAATGCTGCAATTTTTTTTTGTTTCAGAGATACCACTGAAATAAACCTTGTGCACATACATTTTGCAAATCTGGTCCTTCTACAGGTCTAGCACTACGGCTCTGACAGTTTACATTTACTTTCTAGGGACACTTATTTCTAGTTTCAGACATGATTCATTCTAAGACAGAGATGAAAGTAGGACTGCAGCAACTCTTCCTCAAGCAGGAGATAGCTGTAACACACTGAAGCCTCCAGTTGAGCCCTGCCAAGACAGGCTATCATGCCAACACATCTTCTACCTGCCATGCCTGCTTATCCAGCCAGCCCTTTCCAGAAGCTGTGCTAGCACTCTGATGCCTCATGCTGCCAGGGAGCTTCTGTCACTTTCCAACACCTTCTCCTTGGCATGCTTTCCATTGCTGCTGCTGCTGGGTGCCAGGGTTTGTGCTAGTTAAAGCTGGCACAAACATGAGTTGAATCTAGTCCTATAAATTTAAATAGTCAAAAGTAATTAGGTTTACATGTACTGCTGAATAAATTGCTCTTAGGCTAGGGCTTTGTGTTGCAAGTTTCAGGTCCATGCCAACTGTTGTGGTTAAGCTGTAACCCCCCCAAATCACAGATCATAATGAACATGCTGACAAACCCAAACTTTAGTGGCACAAAAGCAGCAATAATTCTCAATATTGATTAATTTAGTTAGTTAAACCTGCAGTCTAAGCTTATAACCATTCAGTGATAAATTGAGACTGACCTGCTGTCCAAGCAGGTTTTTTGATGAAGGATAGAATCAGCTTTATGTTTCCACAGAAATACATGTCCATTTACCATTTTCAATTAGAGAAGGCCATCACTAAGAGAAAGCACAACATGGCTGCTTAACCTGGTCAATTACACCTACAGTACCAATGGAGAAAAAGAAAGCAAGAAAATATGGGAGAAAGTGCCCCAGAAAGGCAGGATTTTTCAAAATTTGTCATCAGCTGGTAAAATAATCCTTCAAGGATGACAGCTAATCAGACTCTTTTTACCAATCACTTTACCAGGTGTGATTTCTAACAGCATATTTCAACAAATATTTTACTTCCCCCTGTGAAAAAGAATGGACCATCAATCCTCTTGAATAAAATTCCTTTTTTTAAGCAGTTGTTGTATGACGTGAATAATTATTTGTACTCCTCAGTGCTTGAATGGAATCTCAACTTAGCACTATTAGACAGTATCAAGCAATATCTTTACACACACTTTATCTGCTATGACTGGATTGCAAAGGCAACCCTTGCTTCTAAGAGAAATACTTACGAAATCTCGTGGTTTCTGTTAGCTTAGACATACAGCTACATGTGGAAACAGAGCCCAATCTAACTCAGTTCTTAAATCCTCACTGAATTATCATCCCTCCCATCAGAAGGAAAAAAAAAAGTCTTTCCATAGCAAGTAAGTACAAATTTGTCAATATTGATAGTGGGTTTTCACCTATTATATACTGCAATTTCTCTCAGAAGATGGAAATAAACTGCCAGCTGCTGCCAAGAATACAGGGATGATATCAAGTGAACATTTTCCTAGTCCACTGGGCCAAGGGAAGATTAAATCTGACTCTAGCCCTCTCATCCTCCACGAAACATTTAACTCTTCTTATGAATGGTTGCACATTCCTGTTATGCCACTGTACAGTTATCTAACTAGTGGTGTAAAATACTGCAAATTCATTTTTTAATCTACATTTATTTTGTTGCTTAACTAAAGATTTTATTATGAGAAAATGTGGGCTATGATAAAGAAAAGCAGGGATTGTATGCTGTTCTTCTAGGCATTTACCACTAGAAATGTAATCCTGCCTAAAGAAGGCAAGTTGTTTTCAGGCTCGTAAGCGTAACAACAATGATGCTTTCAGTTTTTTCATTGGAGCAGAAGCGATAATGCTCCTTTTCCAGTGCATTTAGTGCAGATATATAGTATAATCAGGAATCGCTGACTTAATGTGATTTTGTTGCTTGTCATTAAACATAAAATAACTCTCATACAAAACATTTTAAAAGAAATGCCATTTGATAAAATATGGGGGTTGGGGAGGAGGCAGGCAAATACAGAGAGATTAGAATCTTCAAGTGGATGTAAAACCTAACAGGGTTAACAATGTACATTCAAACTATTTACAAATGTATTTAATGCGTCAAGACTTAGGACACAAAATACTTTCTGTTCAAAATCTACGTAAAATTAAAATGTTAGAACTTGGCATATTCCTGCTTTTCTTATTCCAACAAGCAACTTTAGGTTTACTATAAATGTCAAAAGGATATGGCAGCTTTTAGTTTATATCATCCAGCTTGTGTGAACATGAAACATCATATAAATTCAGACTGTTCCCTGCATTTAGAGAATTTGATGGGTCTGTTTGCAGAATCTTAAACCAGAGATTACCCAGCAGCTTACCGTGAAGTGTCATGCTGGATTGGTGATATGCCTCTGGTTGCAAGTGTTTTGCTGCTGCCTATCAACCCAGAGGACATGGTTGCATCCTTCCCAGGTCCTGAAGTTTTCCCTGTGGAATAAAGTGCAGACAAGCCAGACATCAGAGGCTAGTAATTTTGGGACAGACGTTTCACGATTCTGCATTATACAGAACATTGGGACTAAAAGTTGAAACATTTTTGGCATGCCGTATATGCAGGAAAATCACAACCAGAGAACTCATCAGTAGACAGTACTGTGCATAGCATCCATTTCAGGACCACAAAGAATCAAATCTGCAGAATAAGACACACTCTCACAGATGCCATCTTACTGCCCAAAGTTTGACAGATTTGCACTGTTATAATTTCTTACAGTGGTACACAGGATTCAGCTTGTTTCACAGATGCAGTTCTCATGACATGCTGCAAGATTTTAGTTCTCCAAGTGTAAATATCACTATAACAGTATTTTGCTTTCAATAAAATAGAATTGATAGACCAGCCCTTCTGCCTCCCTCCAAATAACTCTTGAAGAACAAAATAATCTAGGTTGAAAGGCGAAGTTTGGAGGTCATGTGGTTCAATCCTCCATTCAAAGCAGGGTCAACAAGATCAGGTTTCAGGCATTTGTCCAATTAGGTTTTGAATGTCTCCACTGACAGAACCTCCCTTAAAATATTCTCTGGTTCCAATTTTGGACCACCTTCATAGTGAAAAATGTTTCCTGTATAGTTAATCAGAACGTTCTGGGTAGTGGCTTTTTCCCATTGTCTCTTGTTC